CAAAAACTACTTTAATTTAGCTTTATAACCATAAAATACAAGGTAATAAAGATTTCATATAAATTTAACTATTAGTATTTTAGAAAAAATTAAAAATATATATAAGGTAATAAGAATAAATAAATAATAGTTTTTATCTATAAAATTTAGAATATAATTAAAAATAGTTAAAAGCTAAACTAATTGTAACAAGAGTGATTATACTTTACACAACATTGTCAATTAATTTTAATTTTAAAAAATATACATAATTAACTGTGAATAAGAATAATTTTAATTAATATCTCAGTTCTCAAATAAAGTACTTTTAATTACATTATAAAAGTTAATTTTTTGTTAACTTTTTTACTATTATCATAATACTACTAGTAAAAGTTATCGTTTATTATTTAAAAAAATTAATAATGTTATAAAAACTTAAACTATAATGATTTGTACAAGGAATATAACATTAGTCTTGTAAATACAAATATTAATTTGTAAATATGTTCAAACAAATTTATCAACAGCTTACAATATAGAGTATTAAAATAAGTTATTCTAACATATAAATAAATTTTATTGTTAATTTTTATGAGACAAGATATTATTTTAAAAATATTAAATAAATTGTATATTCAAACACCTCTTAAAATATAAATTTTATTTGAATATTTCTTAATTTTTTATATAACCTTAAATAAAATAGAGATTGAAGGAGTATGTTTTAATAGCATTGCATTTTGAGGGATATAGCGAGGGGGGGGGGGGTGGTAATTATTTGGGATTCTACAAAACATATATAAACCTTAAAACGAATCATTCCATTCTGGGTAAATTAGTAATTGTACGATTGTGAATAATAACTACTCAACTCAGCTAATAAACTTCCTTACAAATTTTAAGCAGATTATGTTTGAACCAGGTACTTCACCTAACATATAGGCATATTTATTTTATGGATCTGGCTGGTTAAAGAATTGAAAATATTTTTTAAAAATACATATTTTAGATTTTATTTAAAATTCTGAAAAGATATTTATTAATTATATTTTCTATGATTAATTATATTTTGAGTCTGTGTATTTTAATGTATATGTAATTTTAATCTCTTTAATTTTTAATTACTCACATTTAGTCTTTTATTTTTCTACAATACTCAAATTAAATCCTTCACCGTAAAATTTTATCTAATAATTAATAAAAATATAAAATAAAGCATACAAAGCATAATAAAAATCTTAATTTTAAGGTGAAAGACTTAATTTCAACATTTAAAAAAATTAGGAAGACTAAATATAAACAATTAAAACTAAAAAAAAACTAAAATTTTACATATATTAAAATATATGAAAAAATGCAATTAAACTTATTTTTTATTTTTAATTCCTTAATTAATGCTCTAAAGTATTAGTCTATATTTATCTTATTTTATACTACTAAATTGGAAAAAAAAAATAACATTATTCATGTTACCAAAACATTATTTATTTTGTCTCAATAATTAATGCAAATTTTATTTACCGAATACAAGTGACTTATTAAAAATGCTAATTTTAATCATAAAACTTCATTAACAATATTTAAAATATTATATTGAAGTGTGATTTACAGGAATCGCATGAGTCTTCTAAGCTTTTTTGTGGTGAAAGATTTATGGAGTGAAAGTAACAATCATATTATAGGCATTATTGATGAGAACAAATTTCTTTTTTTTAACATAAATATGTTTTTGCAGCAAATGTGTGCACATATCAACTGCGAGTGTGCCGTAATTAAAGAAATAAAGAAATTATGTTGAAGAGAGGGAAGAAACAAGTCAAGTCAAAAGCAGCATGGCCTCACAGTCCCTACCACTTGAACTTGTCAGGTGAAGCTGCCACTCATTCTTTTAATCAATAATCCCTCAAACAAGCCAAGAATGAATACACCAAATAAATAATGTTTCAAAGGAAGTGGAGAATCTTCCAAATGGTTGGCTCCAGAGATTGAGGAACCCTCACTTCTGGGCCTTTACCTAAACAATTAGTTAAAGTACGTGACAGATATTCATATAATATAAGTTAAAGTGACTGGTGTAATTTATAAAAAAATATTCTTAACTTTTTATTTAATAATCTGCTTAATTTTAACTATTCTTTTAAAAAGGTACATAAAAATACTTGTTTAATATATGTTAATGGTACATAATTAAAAATTTTAAAATAATAATTTCTATTAAAAATATAATATTTAACGTTATTAATATATTTCATTTATAATATTCTCTAATTGTTAATAAAAATTTTAATCATATATTTTTTAAAAACACAAACAAATCGTATAGAAAAATATAGTACAACTCATTTACTAGTTCTCTACTTGTCTTTATTTGAAAAAAAAAATAATCAGAAGAAGCAAAGTGCAATAGCCGCATTAGGGTATTTGTTTGTGGCGGCTACCAGGCTTTAAAGCCTTCAAAACTATAATCAGTGTTATTAAATTTGGACTAATTAGTTAGACTTAGGAATCTATTTTTAAATCAATGTTAACAAGACTGGTTTATCACCAATCAACTTAAAATTGGTGACCCAGTCGAACCAAGCCACTTCATAATGATTTTAATTGGTAAAAACTTCTACTTGAACTCTATTTGCCTCCACACAGAAAAGAGACTAAGTATTAACTGCTAAACCATTACTTACGAATAATGTAACGATATTCATGAAATAATATCTATCTATATTAAATTTAATTAATTCAATTAATAATTCATCGATTCAACGAGTAATTTAATAATCTAGTATTTTATCGAATGAATCCAAATTTAATAACATTCACTGTAATGCACGATCAGTCTTTGTTTAGTTATTTTATTTACTAATATGGTTAATCAAATAAGAATAATTTACAGTTGTGTTTGTGAAATGTGATGTGTATTGGGCCATACATGTATATAAGATGCAGGAAAGAGTAAAGCATCAAATTGTTTTATAATATTAGTTAATTTAGTTCTAAATATTATGAGAATATATTTAGTCCTTTATTTTATAACTATCAATCAACATAATATCTCTAAAATTGAAATCATCAGTCAAATTGGTTATAACAGTACAGTCTTGAAGATTCTTTAGAAGTAACCTTCTTTGAAGTTTGAACCTAAGCCTTTAATTTATTTTATCCTATTATAAGACTAAAATGATTAATAGCACTAATAAAACAAGTTAATCTAATATTTGATTTGACAATCATTATTAATTTAATTTATAAATTTGACAAGTATAAGTCAATTTACTCAGTATCCAAATTAACTCTTGTATAATTGTTTGGGATAAAGAAAATTTTCCAAGTTAAAGATCATTTTGTAGGAAATTTCATTTTCGACAAAATTTTGAGGGTCAAAAAGGAGCCAAAAAGAAGCCTGGAAGATTATCTAGGACTTAGTTTTAAGGGACACATTTCAAGCTATTTTTAGCGATTTTTGCAACATTTTTTAAATCACTGACACTCAAAACTACTCGAAAAATAGAACTGGCAAGAAAAAATACTCCACAAAACTGATGGCTTTTCGAGAAGTTTTGAAGAGTTTTCAAGTCCCTAACACTCAAAACTACTCGAAAAACAGAACTAACAGAAAAATATTCTAAGTCCACAAAAAATTGATGGCTTTTTGAGGAGTTTTAAGGAGTTTCCAAATTCCTGACACCCAAAAATGCTCGAAGAAAAACAGGAAGTGATCAGAAAATATTCTAAGTTCACAAACCTGACTAAGCGCCAGATTTCCTCCAGAATTGCTCGAAAAATAGAAATGGACAAAGAAAAGATTCTAAGTCCACAAGACCAAGACAAAGTTCTCAAAACTCCAGAATGGCTCGAAAAGAGAAGTCAAGAAGAAATTATGCCAAGGCCGTAACATTAAAGGAGTCTCTCAAGTTTCTCCCAGAAATACTCGAAAGATAGAAAAACAAGAGTCTTGATAGGTTAAGTCATTGAAAAATTCAGAAGCAGTTACCAGCAGTTATCAATATTCACCACTACACAAAGGAGATCATGGGCGATAGCGGTTACGAAAAAAACCTCAACCAACAACATGACCACAAGCAATCGTGGATAGTGGGCATCAACAGTTGAAGGCAGTTACTAAGAAGTGCCCGCAAAAGGAGAAGAACGATGATAGTCTTCATGTCTATAAATACTCCAAAGCACCATTTTACAAAGGACGACTTTTTGCACCCAGACACCGCACCTAAACACTCTGAGACGCTGAAACCCTGCACCGCGCCAGACACCAGCTACAAGGAGACACACGGTGGCCGTTGTTCGCCGTTGTGAGGAGTCGTACGTTTACATTCCAGCACCTTTACATTCCCGCATTTACCTTTCTGCGCTTGTTACTTGTATCTTTGTACACTGTTTGTTTCCTGTTTACTACATTTTTGTAAAAGCATCTACGTTTGATTTAATTCTGCATATTTATTATTCACTATTCTTGCTTAATACTCTTTTACGCCGTTAATTTGAGCATCACGTTAACAACACACTTAAAAGAACCCAAAGAGGACCTAAATCCAGTCCCTTGAATGATCTTTGGATTATTTGTTTACAACTGTCATTTTTCACCGTAAACAAATTGGCACGCCTGGTGGGACCATATTGTGTGTTTTGAATGATTGATTGCTTTGTTGCATGATATTACGTAACAGACGTTGTATTATGGCTAATAGAGGAAGAAATAGTGATTCTAGTTCTGGGAATGGCAATTCCAGAAGTGATGGTAGTGATACCAACCCAGAAAGCGGCAGTATTACTACTGCCGCACAACCCACACCAACGACGGCGTTACCTATGCCGTCATCTCTCGTAGTTAGCCAATTTATGGCTACTATGCCGCCAACTAATCCCAGCATAAATCCTGGCCCAAGGCCAAGGCTGGGTGATCACCCATTTGGCTTACCTCCCGTGTGTATGCCTCCGGAGTATCAACCTACTCTAACCCTGTGGTGACAACCGTGTCACCCCAGAGTCACACCATTCCACCGGGAATGGGTGTCCTCCATACTATTCCACCGGGAATGGGTACGATTGGTGGAGTACCTGAAACGCAATTTGCGTTTGGAGCTTCGAGTGGGGATTCACTTCCTACTAGCTCGTTTTCGAATGTTGCCTTACATTCCATGAGGCAACAAATGGATGAAAGCAATCACGAGATGGTCAATATGCTGACTCATCAAATGACCACTGTGTTGAATCCCATAGTGGAAACGACTAATACCAGCTATCAAATTTTGGCTGAACAAATGCGTCGAATTGCTGACGTTTTTGGGGCACCTCGAGTCCCTATAAGGCAAGGGCAAAATGTTGCCCAAACACCTCATCAAGATGCTACAAATCTTGGTCGAAATGGTCAAATTTTCGAGCAAAATAGACCAAATTTTGGTCCAAATCTTCCGAGACAAAATGAGGGAAATTTTCAGGTAGACCAACCCCTAGTTTTTGCTCGAAATCCAAATGCTCCGTTTGAGCAAATTGGTCGAAATCTTGACCAAAACCTTCTGAGACAAAATGAGGGTGATTTCCAGGGAAATCAACCCTTTATTATTGCTCGAAATCAGAATGCTGATGAAATACTTGAGCAAGTTAGGCAAAATAATGTAGGGGGCATCAAATTCAATATCCAAACAACCCGAATCCTCAAAACATTGCCAATGTAGTCGAACAAGTCCTGAATCAACATGGGTTCGACGTAGGGTATGCTAATAGACCCTACTTTGTCTCAGCATTCTCTGAGGCAATTTTGCAGGCTGAACTGCCTCGGGGCTGGAAGGTCCCAAAATTCACTAAATTTGCTAGAGATTCCGGTGAATCTACAGTAGAACATATAGCTAGATACGCCATAGAATGTGGAGATTTAGCTCGAAATGAAGATTTAAAGTTAAAGTACTTTCCTAGTTCTTTGACTAAGGGGCCTTTACCTGGTTCACAACCTTACCCCCGAATTCAATTCATAATTGGAATCAATTAGAAAGAAGGTTTCATGAACAATTCTTTCGTGGTGAAGCGAAAGTTAGCTTAATGGATTTGGTTAATATAAAAAGACTACATAATGAATCCATTGACGATTATCTAAGTAGATTTTGACAAATGAGGTCGAGATGTTTTACTCAAATTCCAGAATATGAACTAGTCCAAATGGCTATAGGCAGATTAGAGTACTCGATTAGAAAGAAATTGATTAATCAGTAGTTAAGAGACATGTCGCAGTTAGCGACGAGAGTGAGGCAAATCGAGCAACTTAAGGCTGAAAAATTTGTCCCTAAGAAAATAGAGAAATTTCCTCGAAAAGACAAAGTGGCTTACATAGGTCTCTCTGAAGGAGAAATAGGAAGCGAGAATGATCTCGACGAAGAAGATGTCGATTTGGGGGTAAATGAGGTAAATGTAGCTGAATTAAAACCAGGACCCCCTTATGTTTGCCAATCTTTAAAACCACTCGAAATTAAGGACAAAACTCGACCTAATAAGAGTTATGCCTTTGATGTATCTAAAGCTGATCATATTTTCGACATTTTATTGAAAGATGGGCAAATTATATTATCTGATGATCATAAAATCCCTACTTTAGAACAAAGAAAGGGTCAAAAATATTGTAAGTTTCATCATGTTTATGGACATTGGACTAATAACTGTGTTCGTTTCAGGGATCTTATTCAGGACGCCATTAAGCAAGGAAGATTAAAATTCGAGCAAAAAACCAAAATGCCGATGAAAATCGATTCTGATCCCATGCAAATAGAAGCTAACTTCGTGGAACCTATCGACATACTGATGGTCGATGTTGCTGAACAACAGGGGTCATTTGATCGAGCTGTAGAAAAGTTAGAAGGAAAAGGCTCTTTCAATGACACCCTCAAAGCCTTCGAGAAGGAAGAAGCTGAAATCTTCCCAAAGGCTGGTGACTCGCTGTTGGACTTTCTAACTCGAAAGAAGGAAGCAGACAGTGAGGTTATGCTGTGCCCGAGGTGCAGCGCCGTTTTCGATAAAGCGGCGGCTAAAGCCTTCGAGCAATCAGAGATGAAGAAACACTATCAGGTGACCACCAACCAGGTGATCACCAAGAACAAAGGGATCCAGACTCAGAATGCTTCTATCACCATACGTGATCCCCAGACTGTTCAAAGCAGGACCTTCGTACCTGCTCAAAATGTTCCGAGCAACACATGGGTTCGAAATGTGTTGCACCCATCATTAACTCGACCAAAACTGCAGATGGTCGAAAAGGGCGGACCGTCACATTCGACGGTCATGCCACAAGTTTTTTCACAACCCAAGTTTTTCACTCAAACTGGGTTTCAGAATCCATCCGGGAGCCATTTTCAGTCGAAAAAACCCTATTTTAAGGCTCCTATGACTAAAACTCAGTGGCGAAGGGCTCAGAGAATCAGGAAAGCTGAGCATGAAGCACAAGCCTTCGCTCAAGCTCAAGCTCAAATCCAGGCGTAAGCTCAAGCTCGAATCCAAGCCCAAATTCGAGCCCAAAATCAAGTACTGCAAGCCCAGGGAAATGCCGCCAGAAAGATGCGGTGTACTCCGGTTAGTGTCGAAGTCAAAACGACTAAAGAGAGGGCACCAACAATGAAAAAAGACCTGAAGATGAAGAGTCCAGAAATCGAGTACGATGCGGATGATGAATTGATCACCGATGTATTCGAATCAGGCTTTGAAAATGACCTCGAGGACATACTTGGGGTTGTATCCATGCTGCCTGCTGAATATGCCGAAGGAATCGGCGAAGGAGATGAAGAAGATTTCTATGCCGATGACGAACCCGATAATAACCCATGGGGTTATTGTTATTTGGCAGAGGACGGTTCACTTGCTAAATCGTCTGCTGTTTTCGAGAAGCCGACACGTGAAATGAAGAGTCATATGAAGCCGCTATACATTGCGGCTCGAATTGACGAAAAATTTCGAGTGAACAAAGTCCTCGTGGATTCTGGGGCAGCTATCAATATTATGCCCAGTTTTTTACTGAAAAAGATTGGGAAATCTGAAGAGGATTTACTCCCACACAACTTGGTACTAACGGACTATGAAGGGAAATCTTCAAGTTCCAAAGGGGCCCTAATCGTCAACTTGAGGGTTGGATCTGTTTCTCGAGCAACCATCTTTGTAGTGGTAGCTTCTAAGGCAAGTTATAATCTATTGCTCGGGAGAGAATGGATTCATGGGGTTGGGGCAGTACCTTCGTCACTGCATCAGAAACTATGTCTTTGGAATAACAACGGAGTGTTGGAATACGTCGATGGAGATCAGAGCTATTTTAAGGCTGAAGTTCATGTAAGCAGTCTCGATAGCAAGACATTCGACAAATCTTTTGCCAACATTGCACCACTCCGTATAGAAGATATAGGCGGCCCTCATTTTGGCCGGAATCCTCTCCTGCCAAATACTCGCGAAATTCGACACCAGATTCGCCTAGACCCTTCGGTGGGTTTTTACGGCTTCCAAGAAATAGCGGAGGCCGAAAAGAATGAAAATGAAGAGCCTTGAAAAGAGCCTTTTGGCTCAAATTTCGGCTTACGTAGCCGAAAATAAAATAAAAACGGCTCTCGAAGCCGGGGATACTTCAGAGGCCGATAAAGTTAGTTCGACCATAAAATCACAAAAAATAGAAGAAATCTCGGCCCATAAAGCCGTAGACCTAATCCAAGGCCATGCAGATATCAACATGGTCGAAAGTTCAGTTCATCGAGCCGAAAGAAGAGAAGCGGCCCTGAAAGTGGCTGAAGGATTGGAGGCCGATTCACCATATTCGGCCATTACGACAAATTCGGCTTATCTAGCCGAACAAAGGCACACAGAACTCGAAACATGTGCGATTCAAGAAGAATTGGTTCTAGAGACCGAAGGCAACGATGTCCGGCTTGATTGCATCTACGATGATGCACCAATTAGCTTCGAGGAAGATTCAGCTCGAAAAGGGCCAAAAATGGAGGCACAAGATCCCTTAGAAGAAGTGAACCATGGAGATGAAAAGGAGCCGAGGTTAACTTTCATCAGTAAATTGGTCGAAGAAGAAGTGAAAGACCAATTAATCAAGCTACTAAGGGAATTTAAGGATTGCTTCGCCTGGGATTATGATCAAATGCCAGGCCTTTCGAGGGAATTAGTCGAACATCGACTCCCAATTCGACCAGAAAAGAGGCCAGTAAAGCAACCACCTAGGAGATTTGCGTCAGAGATTTTGCCAAAAATCAAGGAAGAGATCGAAAGGCTTCTTAGAGCAAAGTTTATTCGTACTGCCAGGTATGTTGACTGGATCTCGAACATAGTACCTGTGATTAAGAAAAATGGATCTCTTAGAGTTTGCATTAATTTTTGAAATCTAAATACTGCTACACCAGAAGATGAATACCCTATGCCAATAGCCGATATGTTAGTAGATTCAGCAGCAGGGAATGAAATTTTAAGTTTGTTAGATGGATATTCAGGGTATAACCAAATTTTTATCGCTGAAGAGGATATATCGAAAATAGCTTTTCGATGCCCTGGGGCTCTAGGAACTTATGAATGGGTAATAATGTCATTCGGATTAAAAAATGCTGGAGCTACATACCAAAGGGCAATGAACACTATTTTTCATGACATAATAGGTGAATTTTTGCAAGTTTACATCGATGATATTGTTGTGAAATCTAAGTATAAAAGTGATCATGTTGGTCATCTTCGACAAACATTTGAAAGAATGCGAAAATATGGCTTGAAGATGAATCCTCTAAAGTGTGCTTTTGGTGCTATTGCAGGACAGTTCCTTGGCTTTATTGTTCACCAAAAAGGAATTGAAATCGACAAGAATAAGGCCAAAGGAATATCTGAGACACAAGCCCCTTCGACTAAAAAACAACTGCAATCGTTGCTAGGGAAAATAAATTTTCTACGAAGATTTATTTCCAACCTTTCTGACAAGGTTAAAATCTTCTCACCCCTATTGAAGTTAAAGAAAGAAGAGGAGTTTCGATGGGAGGTAGAACATCAAGCTGTTTTCGAGGAGATAAAGCAATATCTGACAAAACCACCAGTAATGGTTCCGCCAAAGAAAGGTTTTCCCTTGAAGTTATATATCTCGACATCAGAACATACTATTGGGAGCATGCTAGCTCAAGAAGATGAAAATGGTGTCGAAAGAGCTGTTTATTATCTTAGTCGAATGTTGATAGGTGTAGAATCTCGATATAGTCCAATCGAGAAATTATGTTTGTGTCTATATTTTTCTTGTGAGAAATTGAAATATTATATTAGGCCTTTTGATGTACATGTTTATTCACATCATGATATAATAAAATATTTCTTGTCGAAACATATCCTTCACGGTAGAGTTGGAAAATGGGCGTTGGCTTTAACAGAGTATTCTTTAATTTATAAACCACTAAAATCTGTAAAAGGCCAAGTTGTTGCTGATTTCGTTGTTGATCACTCAATTCCAATCAAAGAAATAGATTTTTTAAGTCTAAAGTCATGGAAATTGTACTTCGATGGATCTAGTCATAGAAATGGAATTGGAATCGGAATACTGATAATTTCACTAGACGAAATCCCAACGAAATTACTCTTCGAGATAAAAACAGCTTGTTCAAACAATGAAGCTGAGTACGAAGCATTATTAGCTGGACTTGAAATACTGTTAAATTTCGGGGCAAGAAATGTAATCATTCGAGGAGACTCTGAGTTAGTAATAAAGCAGCTAACTAAAGAATATAAATGTTTAAGTAGAAACCTCGTCGAATATTGGGTAAAAGTGAATAAATTATTACAAAAATTTGACGAAGTCATTCTAGAACATATTCCTCGAGACAAAAATCAAGAGGCCAATGAATTAGCCCAAATTGCCTCAAAATATAGAATTTCGAGTGAAAACCTGGCAAAATTAACAGAGATAAGGGAGAAGTTAGGGTCAACAAACCTTGAGATCTTAAACATAAATGACTTAACTGACCAAGATTGGAGGAAACCTTTAGTCAATTATCTCAAGGACCCCAACATTCCAACTGATCGAAAAACAAAATTTTGAGCAGTTAACTATATAATTGTGGTTGATGAATTGTATAAAAGGGGTGTTGATGGCACTTTACTTCGATGTCTCAGCGAACATGAGGCTTATATTGCCCTGGCAGAAATCCATGAAGGGATCTGCGGAGCTCATCAAGCTGGAGAAAGAATGAAATGGATGTTACTTCGAGAAGGATTGTACTGGCCCTCGATGATTAAAGATTGCTTTGAATATGCAAAATCCTGTGAAGAATGTCAAAAGCATGGTAATATTCAACACGTTCCAGCCTCTGAATTACATTCAATAATTAAGCCATGGCCTTTTCGAGGCTGGGCTCTGGATTTAATTGGCCAAATTCATCCTCCTTCAACAAAAGGCCATAAGTATATCATTGTAGCTGTCGACTATTTTTCAAAGTGGGCTGAGGCAGTTCCGTTGAAAGAAGTTACTCAAAGTGATGTTGTTAATTTTATCGACAAATACATAATTCATCGATTCAGCATACCAGAAACTTTAACAACAGACCAAGAAACTATTTTTGTAGGTCGAAAGGTAACTCAATATGCAGAGTCCTTGAATATAAAAATGATAACTTCAACCCCATACTATGCCCAGGCCAATGGACAAGTGGAGGCAGTAAACAAAATTTTGATCAAATTGATTAAAAAACACATTGGATCAAAACCAAGAAATTGGCATGAAACCTTAAATCAAGTATTGTGGGCATATAGGAATTCCCCAAAAGAAGCTACAGGGACAACTCCATTTCGACTCGTTTATGGCCATAAAGCCGTTCTACCTGTGGAGGTGAATCTACAATCAGTTAGATTACTACGGCAATTTGAATTACCAAGTGAAGATTATTGGGCCTTAATGTTTGATGAATTAAATGCTTTGGATGAAATTCGTTTAAGTGCCTTAGAAAAGATGATTCGACAAAAAGAAAGAATTTCGAGGTCATATAACAAAAAGGTACGAAACAAGCATTTTAATTCTGGTGAATTAGTGTGGAAAGTAATTTTACCGTTCGACAAAAAATCAAGAAAACTTGGAAAATGGTCACCCAATTGGGAAGGCCCATTCGAGATTGAAAATGTGTTTTCAAATAACGCGTATTCAATTCGAGAAATTGGAACTAATAGTCGAATCATGTCGATTAACGGTAAGTACTTAAAACCATACAAACCAGAAACATATGAAGTAAGAATAACTTGAATTAAGGCAAATAAACAGGTAATTCGAACAATAAGAGGACAAATAAGTAAATTTCATTCAAAGTAAAATTTGAATATTTACAAAAAGGCATAACTACAAGAATTCAAAGGAAAATACAAGGAAAAATCAAAAAGGAGGCTTCGAGCGCATTTCAGTATAAACAGCTCTCAAATTTTGATATCTGGTTTCAAGAGCTGTACATTGTGCATCCAGACTCGAAATATCCTCCATAGCTTGAGCTCTCTCAATAGTCAGGGTCTTCACATTCTCTATAAAGTTTTTTCTGTTCTTCTCACAAGCCGCACTAGCTTTCTTCAGCATCTCTGACTCCTTTCGAGTTGTTTCTCTAAATCAACGATTCTAGCATCAACTTCTTTCTGCTTCATATCGGCATTGGTAGCTGATTCCTTTAGCTTGACTAACCCAGTTCGAGCCTCTTTCAATTTATTAGAAGCAGAGTCTTGCTTTACTCGAGCTTGATCTTGTTTAGAACCCACCACAGTGGTTTGGTCTATAATTGCTAAAGAATCGATGAAAAGAGACTCAAAACGTTGGAGTCCTTCAGGAAAGGTCGAGAGTTGAGCCTTCAACGAAGAAAGTAGGCCTTTGACCTTGGCAACCAAGTCCTTGTCAGTGGGAAGGTTCTTCATCATCGGTGCATCAAAGACCAAGGACCTAAGCTCTTCGAGCATTTTTTCAGTTGATTCAGTGGACTTGGAGATTTCTTAATGTGACCCTGAGGGAGTATGAGACGAAGAAGAAAAGGTAAAAGTACCAGCCAAGATTTTGTTGATGGCCCCCTCTGGATCTTCCTCCACCATGGCATTAAAATCATCCAAGTTCATTTCTGAGTTAATGGATGATGCTGGTGGCACAACTTCAAGGATGGGAGGACCTTCGACAGAAATTGGGAGGTTTTCAGGAACTTGATTTCCCTCTGCAGCTACATTCTCCTCACCTTCATGCAAGGGCCCTTCCTCTTCTGAGTGATATGTAACAACATCAACCTCAGGAGAACCCAGAGGCGGTGTTTGTCGAGATATAGGGGGCACCTAGAGAAAAAGAAGTAAGAAAAGTCTCAAGTATGAAGATCAATTGTGAAACAGATTAAAAAGATCAAATTCGAGCAAAATCACGCCTTACCTCAGAAGCTTGCTCTGTTTGAGCTTGGTCTTCAGAACTCGAGCTAGAAGAACTTGAAGAAATATCCGAAGAAGAGCTCGAAGATCCAGAACTCGAGGAAGAAGCTGCCTCATTCCCTTGTTGGACAGTAGCTGTAGGTTCTTTTCTCGAGATTTTTTGAGACTCCTCAGGGATTGGAGTCAAACGCTTTTTAGGGTCTTTTCGGACCCTAGGGGGTGAATTGACACTTGGAGTGTCATCAGTCAAAACCTGCCACAAAGAAAAGGATTAAAAATTGCTCAAAAAGACAGAATAGTACTCAAAAAGATAAAATTTACCTCCATTGATGGAGCTGAAGGTTGATCAGGTGTCTGCTGCACAGGAGTTAAAGCAGTCATTTCGATAGAAATTTGGGGCTGGGCAGGAATCTTCGTCTTGGGAATGGCCTTAGCCTAGGAAAAAGAAAAGAAGCAGGCTTACAATTTAAATCTATGTCGAGAATTAATGAAACCCAAGTCAAAATAGTTACCTTAGATACCCTAGAGGCAGCTTGGGATGTAGACGAAGACCCTTTTTTAAGGGTTGTCGAAGAAGAACCTTTTCGAGTAGATTTTTGTTTTTTCTTAGGAGGCTCATCCTCTTCCCAATCCTCTTGGTCATATCGACCAACAAAAGGTTCTGTTGGAAGAGCTGCAAAATTTCTCGAGATGTTAAAATCTAATAATAAAAAAAAAAGAAAAGAGGGATTTCGAGAAAAAGCAGGGCAAATCTTACCATCTTTAAACTTTGTAAGGATTCTCACATCTTGAATATCAAGGTGAAGAGGGTAAGGATAAGTTTTAAAAGAAAATCTCGAAGCTGTTATTTTACTTCGAGGAGGGGATAATTCGTTCAAAAGAGTCGAAGGTAGATCGACCCATTTAGGTGAAATTATGGGTAAAGCCAGAGCAAAGTTATAGTTTGGCAAAGGTGGAAAAGTTGGTCGAAATTTTTTAAAAAGGATTTCTTCTATAAACTTCTCAAAAGGATGAAAATCCCTATACCTATTTACTCTTTCTTTTGTTTTTTCTCTTAAGGAAAGGGCAGCTTCAAAAATAGTTTGGGATATTCTTTGTGGTAAGTAAAGTACTTTAAAAAATCGTTCAAAAGATTGGATTTCTCGAATATGCGTACCTCTTGTCTTGGCCTTTGGATCTCCCTTCTGAAATAGAGAAAAAGCAGAAGTCATCTTCTAGTTGCACGCTTCGATAGATATCTCAGGGTGATGATAATAAGTAGACCACCAACTTTGAAAAGTGCTGGTACAGTAGAAAATAGGCTCGAACTTAAGAGGGGAAATTTCTGACCTACGTTTTCGAAAGAAACTAATAGCCTTATTCAAATCATCAATACTCTTTCGAGCGTTTTCAAGAATATCGAGATTTGACCCCTCTAGCATAAAAGAAGGTTTTAACTGGCCCAACCCAAATTGTCGAGCTACCAGATTTGGTTGGTAAGCAACCACTTGATAAGGCCTATGGGTGAAACTACAAAAAAGAAGTTGACATGAAAGAAATTGTCTCCATGTCATTAAAACTTCAGACTGGGCACTTGGAGTTCTCGAAGGAAAAGGGCGTTTAAACCATACTTGCCCTACCTTTCGAGCAGAAAAAGGAGCAAGTTGAGGAGTGAAAGATTGAAGAGATAAGAAAAAATTGAAATATTGTCGAAAAGCATTATAATAGTGTTTTTTGGCTATGTTAGTAGTCAAGAAAGTCAGACGAAAACCTTCAATTTCTCGAGAAGTATTGGGTGGTTCAGAGCTTTGTAATTTTTCTTCAAAAATAGCATTCAGCCAGAGCTGAAGCAGCCAAAAGGGGCCACTAATGACTGAAGGAAAGTCATTAGACCTAAATGAAGCTACGGCCTCATTTAAATTCTCATACAAATTCCCTAGGATAAGCTTCCCAAGGCATATTGAAGACTCTTCGTGCAGTAATTGGGCCAAAGTAAGCAGTGTCTTTGGTACTTGAAGCGATCTTGAGCAAAAAACATAGGCGGAAAGCCAAAACATCATAAAAACAACATGCTCCTCATCAGTAACCGGACCATCTCGATTCATATTCAAGGTTATGAAGAGTTGGTAAGAAAGCTTTTGGAAGTTGGGGGTTACATCAGGATTTTTGGGATGAGAATCTGGTCGAAATGAAGGACCAGCTGGCCTAAGCCCAAGAATGGCAGCAACATCGAAAAGAGTTGGGGTAATCATACCACAAGGCACGTGGAAAGAGCTAGTTGCTCGATCCCAGAAGAAAAGAGAACTCATGATCATAGGGAAGTTGTAAGACACATTGTACCTAGATAACTGAATGACATCATAGATTCCTATGGCCCTCCAACTATCTTGTTTTTCACCTTCAACTCTATCTAACCAAGGCAAATATAAGTCTTTGGTTACAGGAGGCATAGTTCTAAATACTTTTTGGGCATTCTCGAGAGAGTCCAAGTTATATTTGGAAGAGAATGCCAAGACTCCATCAGCAGAAAAAGAAGACTCGACAGATGACTGGGGAACAAAAGGACCTAAAAATGCATGAGGTTTCGAGCCCAATGAAAAGGGAATGAGTACCTGGGATTTCCAAATAGCCAACTTCTCCTCCTCGAGAGGTGGCTCAGGAAGATAGCTCGAATGACCCAAAGGCACGAGCTCAGCATTGGAGAAGGCAGAGGGAACCTTAGACTTGGACGCCATTTCGACAAGAAAAGGAGATGGGAAAGATCCAGAGGAAATTTCGACACAAAGGAAGCAGAAGAGAGAGAACAGAGCTCTAAGCAGGAGAGTAAAAAATGAAAGCGTGAAAAAATGATAAGGTAACTTCATCCTTTAAACTGGTCCCCAACCTCGTACAAGGCCCATACGAGAGCCCAAGTCCAGAGTATTTTGGCACTTAGTGGGAAGTTGAAAAGATAGTGGGACGTCTTTTCGATAAAAAATAGTCTTAATTTCCCAACCGAACGGAGCACGTCTCAGTAATGGGACATTTTGGGTAACTGCTAAGCAGTACTTGCATTTAATGCGCCGACTTTGGCAAACGTGCCTGAGATAAAGCAGGGAAGTGGCAGAGACGCCATAAAAAATGGCGGGAAAATTAGAAAATGAAAAATTTTCCAATTAAATATCAAAATAAAAATATTAAAATCTCAAAAACCTGAGATATTAACATTTTGGGGGGCATCTGTTTGGGATAAAGAAAATTTTCCAAGTTAAAGATCATTTTGTAGGAAATTTCATTTTCGACAAAATTTTGAGGGTCAAAAAGGAGCCAAAAAGAAGCCTGGAAGATTATCTAGGACTTAGTTTTAAGGGACACATTTCAAGCTATTTTTAGCGATTTTTGCAAGATTTTTCAAATCACTGACACTCAAAACTACTCGAAAAATAGAACTGGCAAGAAAAAATACTCCACAAAACTGATGGCTTTTCGAGAAGTTTTGAAGAGTTTTCAAGTCCCTAACACTCAAAACTACTTGAAAAACAGAATTAACAGAAAAATATTCTAAGTCCACAAAAAACTGATGACTTTTCGAGGAGTTTTAAGGAGTTTCCAAGTTCCTGACACCCAAAAATGCTCGAAGAAAAACAGGAAGTGATCAAAAAATATTCTAAGTTCACAAACCTGACTAAGCGCCAGATTTCCTCCAGAATTGCTCGAAAAATAGAAATGGACAAAGAAAAGATTCTAAGTCCACAAGACCAAGACAAAGTTCTCAAAACTCCAGAATGGCTCGAAAAGAGAAGTCAAGAAGAAATTATGTCAAGGCCGTAACATTAAAGGAGTCTCTCAAGTTTCTCCCAGAAATACTCGAAAGATAGAAAAACAAGAGTCTTGATAGGTTAAGTCTTTGAAAAATTCAGAAGCGGTTACCAGTAGTTATCAATATTCACCACTACACAAAGGAGATCATGGGCGATAGCGGTTACGAAAGAAACCTCAACCAACAACACGACCACAAGCAATCGTGGATAGTGGGCATCAACAGTTGAAGGCAGTTACTAAGAAGTGCCCGCAAAAGGAGAAGATTGATGGTAGTCTTCATGTCTATAAATACTCCAAAGCACCATTTTACAAAGGACGACTTTTTGCACCCAGACACCGCACCTAAACACTCTGAGACGCTGAAACCCTGCACCGCGCCAGACACCAGCTACAAGGAGACACACGGTGGCTGTTGTTCGCCGTTGTGAGGAGTTGTACGTTTACATTCCAGCACCTTTACATTCCCGCATTTACCTTTCTGCATATTAATTTCAGCGCTTGTTACTTGTATCTTTGTACACTGTTTGTTTCCTATTTACTACATTTTTGTAAAAGCATCTACGTTTGATTTAATTCTGCACATTTATTATTCACTATTCTTCCTTAATACTCTTTTACGCCGTTAATTTGAGCATCACGTTAACGACACACTTAAAAGAACCCAAAGAGGACCTAAATCCAGTCCCTAGAATGATCTTTGGATTATTTGTTTACAACTGTCATTTTTCACCGTAAACAATAATAAAATTAGAGATTCAAATGATTGACACATGACAATGTTAATGCAAAAAATAATTTAAAATTATTAAAGTCAGAGATCAAATTAATTATAAATGTTAAGTATTGGGAATTAAAATGACCAATAATTTCTAATTTTGAGAATTCAAATATCTTTTTTATGGTATAATTTTAGAACTTAAAATAACTTCTAATTAATTATAATTTTAGGAATTAATTTAATAATTTACTTTAATAAAAAATTATAATGGTTGAATATAAATTAAACAAGTGGAATTGAAGATAAAATCACCTTGCTGCTCCCTTTCCTGCCCCCTCCCAGAAGAAGAAGTTTATATATATAGCATGTTTATTTTCAGTGGAAAAATATTGCTATCCTTTATTGTTTCGAACTTGTTCCTATTTTAATTTTCAAAATGAGCGTTTTGTTTATTAACTTCTTAAATTATCAGTCAATTACCGTGAAATTAAAGGATAGCAATTCCATTTAGGCAAAATACAAGTATAGGCCATAAACAACTAGATTTACATTTCCAGGAAAAAAAAATTCTTTTTAAAGCCAAATCAACTTAAAGAGACTCTTACACGAAAAACTTGAAGATTATAGTTGGACAATTAACAACGGAGCTTTATTACATTCCGGACGATGAATGCACCTATCAAGGGAAGATTATTACTCAAATGAGATGAAATCGTGTCCACCACGTAAAAAATAACTAAGTTTAGAAGACCAATGATATTATCAAATTTTTAAAAAAATTTAATTATTCATATAACATATAATTTTATAATATCCTTTTAAACAAAATTAGGAATTTGGCCTTGTAACTTTATTTTTAGTTTTAAATTTTTCTCTAACATTTTTTAGTTTAATTTTGTCCTCTAACTTTTTTTTATTTTTAATCCAAATTAATCTTCTATTTAACTTTAATTTAATTATTTTTTAATATTAATGTTAAATCTTATTGAATTATATTTTTGAATTGAGTCATCTTGGCTTGTCTAACTCTCTGTATATATGCCACAAAATGCAATATGATTTTAGAATAAAGATTATATGTTAATAATGAGAAAACTCTTTAAAGAAAATTGATGAATCAATGTCAAAATGTAAAAGATTTGATAATTGAAGTAAAATGAGTTTAGAACAAACTGATTCAATCACTTATTTTAGTTAATAAAAATCATGTAAACAGTTAATATGTTACCAGTAACTTCATCTTTTAAAATAACCCTCCATCAATTTCAATAACCATTGAAACGTAAATAAGTAAAATGATTGTTCAATATCATGGTTTGTTGAAAAGATAACCAATCTCTATGCTTAAATATTTCATTTAAATAAAAAAATAATTTTTTTATATATTAGTATAATATAATATAATATTGTAATAAACTCCTTGATCAATTTTAACAATCATTTATATAATTTCCGTTGAGATTCTAATGAAATTTAATATTGTTATACAACAAAAAGCCTAATTTAAGATAGATTCTAAAGTTAAACGACTAAATTGAATTTTAAAAAAAATAATTTAAAAATCAAATAACTTTTTTAGCTATTTTATTATATTAGTTTTCATCTTTATTTATCTTCATTATATTAATTAATTTTTATTTTATTTATGTTCTCTTACATTCTTAAATGATTTTTGTTGTACATGAATAATTTCTCTTCTAAAAATTTTGCCATTAAATTTTTTATAGTAAAAACAAGCCTGATTATGATGTAATGTAGTAGGCCAAATGACTGCATATGCCAAAAATAAACCAGCTTGTTAAAAAAAATTATTTTTTTAAAAGTTGTTAACAACTTAAGGTGTAAGAAGGGCAGGCTGGTAAAATCGAACTCGAGCCCTGCTTCATCGATACCATTTTATATTAACAAGAAAACAAATTTATTTTTAACTCATACCCATTCATCAGGACATGAAATTTATATACTCTGGCATTATAATGAGGCAAATTTTAACCAACCAAGCACATTATGGTTCTTACAGGAAGATTTAAAAAATTCTGGATTTATTAGCCTTCATGCGATTTCTCTTTTAATAGTTTTGATATCTTAAGATCTTTCACAATTCTTCTTTCATTCTTTAATTTCTTCTAATGATTGGAAGAAGGTAGGAGATTATTGTAAAATCATAAAAAACATAAAATAATTAACCTTTATTTTAATAATTGCTCTTATATTTACTTGAAACAAGTGGAGAGAGTTTTTTTTTAATTGTATTGATAGTTATACTTCTATTAAATTTATTTTTTATAATTAACAATTATCACATTAAATATTTTAATTAGAACTAAACTATAAATTAGACACAGCACTTGTTAAATTGCTACAATATATAAATTATCTAACGCATAAAACAACTACAAAGATTTCAATGAAAAGAGTGTTTATTAGATGAACAAATTAGTGACTACAGATATTTCAAACCTCAAGGGAAATTGAACCACATTACAAAAATAGAGACCATTGATTATTACTGCCATTGTCTTTTTGTCCTCCCATTTTTTCCGAATAAGATACATATACAGTGAACAATCAAACCATATGGTTGATGACACCGTTGAATTTTAGCACATGCATGCCCTAGTTGTTAATGGAGTGACCTACACCAGGGCTATGCCCCGGGGTTGTGGGTCTAAAATCATCGACATCATGACCATGAGGCGGTGCCGCCCCAGTTGCACCAACCATTGTTGATGGCGCTGGTGAAGACACGTTTCCCGATGTGGCCGCATTTGTAGCTGAATTGCCACCATGCATCTCATCATGGTCCTTATACCCTTTGTCATACTTTAGATACCGTCCTTCAATGGACTGGAATTGCTGAGAGAAAATGATCAGTGCTAGGAAAATCATAGAGAAAATGAACTTGTTTTGTGCCATGATGAAAAATTAAAAGGAGAGTAGTTACGCTAACAAACAATAACCAATGATTTTCTAATGAAGAAATGAAGTGTGCCTAGATTTCAACTACGAACCAAGAATATAGAATTGAGTTGTGTAGCAAGAATTCCACGCCGGCCTTTTATAGAGCTGAAGGAGCATGGGCTTGTGGACCCTTTATGTCCCTATACTCCTAGTCCTAGGTTCAGAAATAATGAAAATCTTTTACCTTTTAATTCTCTATCTTCGAAAAAATGCTCCGGCATATACCATTATACCTTTCGATTGAGTGCATTTTTTAATATACTTCCCATATAGCTTTCCTGTTACCGCGGAATAAAGGAAAGACATACATCTGTATATACCTAAAAGAGGTATAGGAAATGTGAAATAAGAGAGTGTAAAGTGTTTTTAGCGTCTCGCATAGGGTAAGTTCAATGGGCGGAAAAACATAGATATGATTTTTTATTTTTATTTATTTATAATAAAAAGTATCGTTTTAAAATTGTTTCTTTCAATAATTACTAGCTAAGTTTGATAGCATTGGTGACAAGAAAAATTATTGAATCATCTACACTCATAATTTCGACAACTCAGGTTAGATTATGTATTAAAAGTTTATAATTTATGTGTGTATGTATGGCAACGTGAGTTACCGAGATCACGTCGTGCAAGAAAAAGACTTCCCCTAATGACAAAAACATTTTTGCATTCCCAATATATACCCGACCATAAAGTCTGTCATCAACAGTCAATTTGCATGCAAATTGGAAAGTGGTTTTGCACCAATGCTGTCTTTGCACTTCATAGTTTGTAGTATATAGAAAATCACATTAATAGAAAGCAATTCTTGGTCTCGGGCACTGAACTGATTTTATCGCCTCCAAGTTGTTCAGGTTGGACATCATTACCACTATGGGACCACAGCTGGAAAAGTGTACCTTAAGCATTCCATCATGGAGAGTGCATGCGTGATGTCAGCTTTCCATTCAATAATAAAATGGCTAATCGTAAGACCATTTCTAAGTATGGAATCCAACTTGATATTCTTATTACTTATTTTTCTGTTTTATATATTAGTGGCTTAATACTTTTTTAATATTTATTATTTTAGAATATTAAAAAAAAATTTTCTTTATTAGAGATAATTTTAATGAATTAACTAATATAATTATTATAAAATTATTTTTAAAAATTAACTAACTATTATGACATTTTTAATAAAACATTTAAGATTTTTCTTAAAATAAAAGGGCTAAGAATATATTCTTTAGCATATTTTTTTAATATACTCTAAATTATTAAATAAAATTTATTAAAAATACAAATAGAAATATGATAAGAAATCAATAAATAATAGATTTTTATATAAAAAGTTGTACTAATTAATGTTCTTGATACATTAAATTGGGTGATAAAACGTGATATGTAATTAATATGTGTACGTTTAGATTCATTTTAGAAACTTTTTTTAATAATATGTTTTATTTATAATTAATAATTTTTATTTTTCATTCTTTTATAGATGTTTATAAATTGTCTATCGTATATTTAGCAAAACTGTCAAAATAGGTTATTTAGAATATTAAACTTAAAAATGATTCAATTGTCTTTTTTTTCTTAACTAAATTCGCAAAAATTAAATTTATAAAAATTAAATTTAATATGAATCTAAAATTTAAAATCTAAATTTTATATTTCCTCAAACTCGTTTGGACCGACTTATTTTGCCACATCTAATATGTAGCTAGTGTCGTCTTATACGGAAAGTCAAGGAATCTTTGGGGTTTCTTTCATGGAATCTGAATGGCACGCCGTATGAGTTTGGTAGAACATTCAAGACTTTAAAATATCTGGATTCATACACCTTTGATATTAATTTGGTAGTATTTCGTGTATATAACTAGAGTTTAATCTAAATAAAATATGAATTATATATATATATATATATATATATATATATATATTTGTGTATGTGTAATAACAAATGATAGGATTCGAAAACAATTTATGTCAATATAAAAAGAAAAATTAATGTCAGTTTATGATTTTTTTTAATCTTACTGGTATAATTTTTTATTGCACAAAAGAATTTATAAATAAAGTATATTTTTTTAAAAATATATTTTTTATTCTTATATTTTTGAAGTCTCATTTGTTTGACTTCTTTTCTTTTCTTTTCTTTTATTTTAGTGTTGAACTATTTTAGAATCAATACTCTTAATCCTTAATAACCATTAAATAATAACATGACTAATTAAGAGATTACTTTATTAATGTTAATTATTTGTGTAGTTACGTTAGTGTGAGAGGGATTAAAACACTTAGCCATGAAAAGTACTTTCAAAAAATTAAAAACAAAAAATTCACAAAATCATAAGAACTAATTAAAATCATATTTAAGCTAACTAATTGTAAAAGAATAAATATTTCTATACAAAATAGGATAAAATTATGAAATAATAAAAAATTTCTATCTAAAATAATTTTAAATCGATTCAAATTTTATTCTAGGTAGAAAATTTCTAACAATCTTCAACGAAACAATTCCTAACCAAACCTAATACCCTCTGCATAGATATTTCAACTTACTTGTAAAGGGTTCAAAGTTAAATTTAAATGACCTTTTTGTTAAGATATGCATGTCAATTATTGTGTTATTTTAACTAGTAACATAAATGAGCTATACTCGAACTATTTAAGTTCGACTTGTTAAATGTTTAACTAAATTTATTTATTTAATTAAATAAACCAGCTCAAAATTTGTAAGTTTGATTAAAATTTATATTTATATTTATATTTATATTATTATTATTATTATGTTTATATTATTTATCTAAAATTAATTTTAAAAGTTGTATTTTAAACAATTGATCATAATTTTTTTTTAAATTATTACTTTAGTCTTAAGTCATTTTCATATAAATAAAATAATATTTATTACTATTTTACTTACTTTTTAGCATAAAAAATTTTATTAATACGAAATTAACAAAAAAATTATTTAAAACTTATATAACAAATTATAAAAAGTTAAGATCCAAATTTAAAGATTTATTTATTTTTAATAATTCAAGCTTAAACTTTAAATACTTAATTCCACTTCATTCGTAATACTCATGATTGCAACAAATGACATAACATTATACTCCATCGTCGACCTCCTTTACAACGAAGTGTCTATCAATTTTCTCATATTTAGTTTGTTCATGCTCTAATGGATTTTGGGCACTACTTATTGGAGGCCTTTTCATTTTACAAGCAAAAATAATAATTCTCCATGTACATTTATTTGAACATGGCGACCAATTTGTCTGGGCAATATTTTCTATAGCACTTTACTCCGTGCCCAATCCTGTTACATGGATAAGAGGGATTTGATAACAATATATCTTGGATTGGGTATTGATACAATCCTTGGAGACTCTTGATATTGACTAAACAATGGTTGTACGTAGATTTTTAATGTGCACACATGCAAAGACTCCTGTGGGTTTAAGCACCATGTATCAAAGGATATATATGAATGTATATTAAGTCTCCCTATTTGAACCAAGTCCAAGTTTTAACCTTAAAAAGATCCAAACCAAACGAGGATCAACTAAGGAATATTAGAGAAAAATAACTTGATTTCTATGGAACCATATTGACCGTAAGACATATATAGATTCATAACAATTTCCATTTCTCTTTTACATTCTTGTTATCATTTCATATTGACCTTTTAAGGAAGCACCATCAGATTACTGATGTCCAAGACACGTATATATAAGAAATGTGGCAAATGAACTGAAAAATTCTACATTTAGAGAATCAATCCTATGATGTCTCATATTCATTCTGATATAGAGCACGTTTCATTGAATCATTTTGATCAAGGATGTTCCGTTAGAATGGATTTGTTTTTGTATCTCGTTTTGCTAGTTTACCAAGCAAAAGCCTTCAATTTTGTTGAAGCCAACTTCGACCACATTGGGTTAAAGAAAAATGTGGCATGCTTAATAATTGTCTTGCTGTTGCATTAAGGTATAAGCTGGCTTATAACTCAAAAGGACTTAGAAAGTTCAGCTTTCCAAGATCACGAATCATAAATATTTTCCTTGAATTCCATTCTCTTTCTCAAAACAAGTGTTTTCTATAGAGAATTGAGTTTGAAGCTTAACTTTATTCATTATACATCAGTAGTATACATAGATTACAACATGAATAGAATAGTTGGTATCCTGTACTAGAATGATAACAAAACTTTGTTAAGATAATGTTGAGGATAACACACACAGTTACAGACTCATGCAAGATGGAGGCGGCTTTAATAACTTCAATCTTGCTGATAGTGCCATAAAAAATGCGTTGTTAAAATTCATTTAGCATAAAAACTAGTTGAAAGAGTGCAAGACATACGACTAGCTTGATACATTTTCTCCGTCTAAAATTAAATTCCCATATATCATCTTCCACTTTTTGCTATATTACCTCCTTACTTTCTAAATTTTGATAATCTATTATTTTAAACACCAGGAACTATAGAATCATCCACGTACATATTTTTCTCCATACAATTGCTCTATTTGTAATCTAAACACCAATTCAATTGCTCTCCGTGCTCTTTTCTTGACCAATTATTTTATGAACTTCCTTCCCCAATAACTACAGCATCACCCGCATGTTTAATGGAGAGATGTCTAAATTTCCATTCCTAACAATAAAATAAATTTTTGTGACTGTATTATTAACTAGATCATTTATACCCTTTCCTGCAACGTAAAAAATAAAGAAAGAAAGATCTTTTGATAATGTATCTCTTATTTGAGAAGGTTATCCTCACATTTTTTTTTAATTGTATAATTGAATATTTTGTTTAAAAAAGAAAAAAAGAGAAGGAGAGATCATTTCTATAATAAATATATTTCATTTATTTGTATTTTGCGACACAAATTAACCCAATATGCAATAAAATGCTTAATAACATTATGAATGATACAATACGGAGACCTAAACATGTCCTAATTTTGTGATCGACTTTCACATAACAAGATGCTGACCCAGATCAATAATAAAAGCAAAGATAATGCAATTATGGCTGCATGATTCGGGGATTGGCATGCAAGGCAAGAATACAGACTCTGAAATGCAGAATGAAACTGAGAACATTATTATACGTACACATGCAGTTGAACTACTATAGTTTTGTGACCGTTATTATAAGGAATTAAATTGCTTAATTACATGACTAATTTAGCTGTCCAATTTTGTTTTGCTGAGAATGGCCCACTCCAGGGCTGTGACCTGGATCTGTAGGTTTGAAACCATTTGTTGTGGCACCAGCTGCATAAACTTTAACATCAGGACTCTGAACTGCCACCATTGCTTTCACATCTTTATCTTCAAATTTTCGGTGACCAACGCCAGGGCTGCTTCCAGGTGTTGTTGGTCGGAAAGCATTTGTGTCAGCCGAATCATCAAAACTTGCAACACCATGTTTTGGTATCGCAGATGAATCTACTTTCTTGTTCTCTGATGATGGTGTAGGAACATTGCTAACTCTGGCTTTAAGAGGTTTTAAAGTGCCTTTGTTTAGCGAGGAATGCTGGTTTAATGGCTTTATTTGCCTGCCATGAGTTAGAAGCGAATCATTGCAGGCAACTAGTAATAGAAAAACTGCTAAATGTTTTCGTGTGGCCTGAAATGCACCCATGACTATGACTAGAGAAGTATGTAATAAGTAAACGGCTTTTAGTTTAAGTAGAGATTATAGGGAATGACGTATATAGGATATTCAATTACTTAGCATAAGTAAATGCCAAGACACATGATATGTCGGGTTCCGTATCCTCAGGTATTTATAATCTTCTTGTGTCAAAATTCTGACGGCTAATTATGTCATTTGATTTGACTAATTATGTGGAGGCCTAGGGTGTACTCTTTAAATGGGAGTGTTTGATGTTTGTATATTAAATAACTAAATCTCTAGGGTACGGTGGGCCAACATGTTCCTTTGAGGAAATAATAATAATAATTTAAAAATGTTTGGTGGTGTTTATATAAACCATTTGGTATTTGTTTTTAATTTTTTATTAATTTTAATCTTAATAAATTATATATATTTTTTAAAATACTTGTACGTCATTATTTAATGATGATGTGGTATATATTTAATCATATAATTATCTGAATAACTATTTTAAAATATGATACAATATATCATGTATATCTATTATGACATAAAATTATTATTATGTGACAAGAACAATAAGTTTTCAACTGAAGTTAACAAAATTTTTAGAGAATTAAAAGTATACTAATTATTTTAAAGGACGTCAAAAATATTTTTATTTGAAATGAATTAGACTTAACCTTTTTTAAATAATTTATAATATACTTTGATATACTTCTCTTTCGATCCTCACCTCTTATTCTGCCGGATATATCTTGCATGATTTGATACCCAAGTATTGGGGCCTAATTAGAACAGAAAAATTTAATACTTAGATTCGTTCAATAAAATACAAATATGTAATGGACACAAAAGCGAAAATTTCCGGGGAATGGGATGATCGAAATAAAAATTATCATCAACTAGCATACTATTTACATGAGGGAAATGAAAGTATGCGAAGGAATGGAGAAATTTTAATAGAAATCCTTAAATCGATTCAGAGGTTGGAGCGAGAGGAGCAAAATTAGAGCGTCAATCTCTCACTTTCAACTTTTGTCTATCCTACTATGCTAGGAATTTTCATTTTTTTCATGTCCTTCTTTGTGTTAAGTTTTTTCCTCTTTTCCTAAACAATTCATAAAACTTTTACAAAATTATTATTTTTTTCATAATAAAAAAATTAATTTTGTTAATCTCAATATTATAGCTGAGTTTAATTCATAAAAAAAAATTTATAAAAAAAAAATAGACAATTATTGTATTGAAGTTATAAAAATATAATAAATATTTTTTTTAATAAAATTTTACTATTACTAGTTATTTATCATCAGAGTTAAGATTAATAATAAAAAAATTGTTCCTTATTTAGGTCTTAAAATAGAAGCTTAAATTTTAGCTAACCTCATATTTTACATTTAAATATGTATCAATCCAAATTCAATTAAGAAAAGTCAAGATAGGTCAATAAAAATTTAAAATTAATTTGTATTTAAAAAATAAAGCTCAACTCCTATAATTTAATAATTTTAGGTGAATTAATATTATACTCAATTTTACTTTATAATTTGTCAACTAAGAGAATGGATAGTAAAGAATTATTTTCTAAAATTTATTTTGAGAGCAGTTACTTTAAAACTATTTTTTAAGAAAGTTTTTTAAGAACAACTATTTCTTAAATGTTTTTTAAAAAGACTTGAATTAACTGATTTCTAAAGTATAATTTTAGAGAGCAATTATATATTAATCACTCTTTAAAATTACGTTGATTATATTAATTATTTTATAAAGTCACTTTTGGAGAGGGATACGTCAATATTCTCATATATTAAAATTTTAAAATGTCCAACAATTTTTATTGTTTAAATGAAACATGTTCAACTCACACTTTATAAATATTTTTTTCTTCTTTGTATTAACAAAGTTAATCTTTTTTACATATGTAAGTTTTTTTCAATTTTTTTTGTGCTAACAAAGTTAATTTTTTTCACAATTATAAATATCTTTCTCACAGTTTTGTTTATTCTTTCTTTTTTTTTCTTTCTATTAATAGTAAAATTTATTATTAATTTATTTCTTTTTTTCTGTTTACTAATATTTAGTTCAAGCATACGTAAACTATTTAGTTCATATAGTGTGACATAAATCATGTCTCATATTTGATTTAATAGTTAGAACTACTAACCAATTAAAGGTAATAAACTTAATATTAAGATTCTTTATTTAAAAAAAATTAAAGAATTGAGTTGAAACTTCATTACAGGTTGAATTAATATAATTTGCAAATTGAGTTAGTCAAGTCATGCTAACTTGGCCAATATTTTTTAACTGAAATCTGCTACAACAGAGAACTTGTTTTTCAATATGCTATACAACTTGGGAAAACTGAGTTTTAAGGAACAGGACCAGCCCAAGAATTGTGCCAGAATTTTACACTAGAACCATCACTAATTTTTCTACTAAGACACTATCTTGCCAAGAGAATATTTTGTTTTGTTCTAAAAACTAGATAAATTGATAAAATCAATGTTCCCGTATTTAGCCTTAATAAGATCTACCTACATTGAATCCTTTTCAACAAGCAACCTCCATTAGACCTAAAGCTTTTTAACATGAGTCGCTTAGGCAAAAAAAAAAAAAAAGATTTTTCTTGTGAAAAAGGATATGAAATATATAGACAAAATTTATCAGGCTAGATATAGGAACATTGATTTTATCAGTTTATCTAGTTTTCAGAACATAAAAATTTATCGTCCTTGGTGGCGGGATATTGTAATATTGACTCTAGCCATGATCCTGTCGCTTCATGGTTTCAACACAATATTATTAGAAAAGTACGTGACATTTAAAATTTTGGCACGATCGATCCTTGGGATGGTTCCAATCCTTTAAAGCTCAGTTTTCCTAAGATGTATAGTGTATCAGAAGATAAGTTCCCTATTGTAGCAGATTTATAGCCACTAAACTGGAGAAGGAACTTATTTGTATTTGTATAAGAAGAAAGACAATGAGAACTTTTGTTATCTCTCATCATTTCTGTATCTTTATCTAACAGAAAAAGTGATGGTTGGGTTTGGAATATTGATCTTTCTAAGACCTATTTAGCTAGCTCAACTTATAAATTTTGCTTTCCCAATCCTCTCCTAGTTGTTTACTTGACCTAAGCTTATCTCACAAACTTTGGAGACGGGAAACTCCAAGAAAAATTACTACTCTTGTTTGGCAATTGCTTATCATAAGTTACCAAACAAGGTGCAACCCCTAAGAATAAGAATATCCTTTCAATTCAAGATTTAAAAGACATTTATGAAAATATTAAGGTGAATAAGTAATCACATATAAAAAATTAGACCAAAAATAATTATAACCGTGAGATCTATAATGAAAAAATAATAAAAATTATTTAAGGTAATTTAATCACATGTATAAATTACTTTTAGAGATACTATATAAGAGTCAATATGTAATCGGGATAGAGAGAAAGTTAAAAGAATTAAAAAAGATATTATAATTAATAGCATTTTTAAAATTTAAAGTGTAAATGGTTGGAATTGAAGAGTTTGATTTAAATAAATAAAATGAATAGGTGGTCGACTTGCGCACCATTAAAATGGACCGTGCAGCAAGAAACGGGGATTCTCCTACCTTCCCTCCTCCACTTTAAGTGAATGGTCTCTGTTCAATCTCAGAAATCTTTTTACTTTGGTCGCCCATTTCATGTGACACACACATATTGGATCCTGTGTTGTGTCAAATATATCTTAATTTGTTTATGGAACGCTAACTTTCAAATGGGTTGCATGATTGCGCAGCCGCAGGCTCAAAGCTGAAAAAGGAGAAAGATTCTTGTAGGCTTCAATTATAGTCGTGTTTGTGTTTGACCTGCATCAAGAATTGGTACCACTGCATTTACGCACCATTTGATTGGAGATCCCATAGATCAAGATTTGTCATTGATTTTATAGCCGCCTTCTGGTATTATTGAATCACAACTTGGTATCTGTGACCGTTACACATTACTAGTACTTAAGAATACAATCATAATATTCCTCATAACTTTTCGCATAAGTAATCTTTCTCTTATTTATAGTCCTTTTCAATGTATAAAAATCTTAATTTCGATGTAGTTAAGTTTAAATAATTAATAATAATAAATTTATATACATATAAAAGAGTGCCTATACATGATCTTCTGGCGCGAGATCGCCAAAACATTACAAAAATTTCTTACACATTATCAGCTCCAAACAACCGACATCAGTACACACTTGCTAGTTTTGTTTAAGGATGTTATATCGGTCGTCTCCACAAGCAAATTCTAGTATCGTTTTAAGCAAAAATAGCCAAAAATATATCATACAATAAATAAAATATTGGCGCAAAGCTTCTTTCTTAGAAAGTAAAAATAAAATACCTATATATCAATGATATAGCACAACTTGGATACGTGAACCAAGAAAAAGTGATTACCAATTACAAAAGAATGGTTCATATGAAAACCACGATTTGACCGAGTTTCGTTAGTCATCATAGGTGCCGATGATGCGGGACTTGATACGCAATTACGCTTTCACTTTTCTGATAGTGGAATATGCAATACTTTGTTAACCAAAATATATATATATATATATATATATATATATATATATATATGCAATGTAAACAATTATAATTGCCTGTAATATTTGTTTTTTTATATATTTTTATTTATATAAGTGGAAAATTATTAAAATAAAAAGATGAACTCAACTGTAGTTATATAATTTAATTATTAATTATAAAATTCAGTAGTTTTTCTAATGTGTTCGAGTATTTGTTAACAAAATAAAAAATAGTAATTTTTTTATTAAAATTTATAACATTTAATGTTGGTAATGCATTGAAATCTATAAAACTACCTTAAATCTTATTTATAATTAACAATTACTAACATCTTTTAAGTCTTAAATATAAGAAACAAATAATTGTTAAATTCTTTTTATATACTTATTTATTGTAATATTTATAAAAGTAGATATTCACTTTTTTTATTCATGAAAGTGGATATATTTAATTATTTAATGTATATATATATATATATAATACACTAATTTGATCATTTAATACTATAAATATTTCTGAAATAAAATATAAATTTATGACATACAACTATTTTCATTAATCTTTATAAATTGATTTATTTTTTAAAATTAGGATCGAGAATTGTATCTTATTATTTTTAAAAAAAACTTGCTATACACAAATTTTTTTTGGATACCATTGGATATACGTTAGAAAAATTATATAAAATTTGTGTTACTATGTGTATGAATAAATGCGCATCCAGTAACTTACATAAAATTTTGAATGTAATAAAGGTTGTGAATTATTTTTTTAAAATTTGATTTTGTATTTAATATTCTTTCTAATCCTTTTTATAATGCAGTTTCTAGATATTTTTATAAGGTATTTTATAGTTTCTATATATGAAGCATTTATTTTTTATTTTTTTCTATTTATCTTAAATAAATGAAGTTGGTGGTACCTAAAGTAAAATTAAAAAAAAAAAATAGTGATAGTGTGATCAGGTTCAATGGTATTGAATAGGAATAAAAATGTTATTTATAATTTTTTTTAAAAAATATCAAACTATGTAACTAGCTTTAATTAAGTTTATCGGTCTCTATAATTTAACTATAATTCTTTTTTTTTTCTCTTTGTAAGAAACATCTATAACAATTTTTTGGTCTAAGATATAAAAAATAAACTCATTTTCAGATGCATTAATTTCTAAAGTTTTTCTATAACTTATTAATTGTAATATTTATATTCACAATACACTCATATTATCGTGTTATATATATATATATATATATATATATATATATATATATATATATATATTGTTTTAATGTATGGATGACTAAAAAATATTTTTAAAAGTAGTATTTTTAGTAGTTTTGATAAATCAATTATTTGTTTTTTATAAGAAAAATTTAAAAAAATTAAAACTTTTCTTGTTGCGGTCGGCACTATTAAATTTTATGGCCATACCTTTCGTTCTTCTCTTCCAATGTACCAACCACGAATTGATTAGATCATAGGTCAACGCTACAAATTTCCTATCACCTTCACTGACTTGCTACTGTTTACTTCTTAAAAACAATTAAAAAGACTTCAATAACATTAAGAGTTTAAAATAATAATAATAATAATAATAATAATAATATGGTATTTTTGATATTTTAATAATTTTATGCTTTTAGAGAGATATAAAAATTAGGAATACGTTTGATTTCTGTTTTTCAAAATTAATTATAATACAAATTTATATTAAAATTAATTTTTAAAAACAAAAAAATGTTTTAAAAATAGAAATCAAGGATGGTCTAATTATTTTTAGTTTTTTTCATACTCATTATTTCTTACATTTCATTTTATTTTATATATTCATCTCTCGATCTTCGTCTGTTTTTTCTTTTTACCCCTCTCACGTCCCATAGAAAAGTGTGAAGGAAACATTACTAAATTTGGAATCGAACTGACGAATATAAAATGAAGAATCATTCCATTCTTGGTGGAATAATTACTTCTTGACAGTAACCATTCTTCAGCCCAGCTAATAGACTCCCTTTTGATAAAGGTTAAAGAATCACATTCATAACTTCCCGTTTGTTAATTGAATTTTTAAGAAACTAGGTAATCCACCTAGCATATAGGCATTTTATTTTATATACATTGGAATAATAAAGTAACATTCTATAGGGTATACCTATATTCCCTAAAAAAGATACTGATATAAATTTATGATTTTATGCAAACTATTCAATATCTTCGTCATCAACAGTCTTAATGACTTATTCTCACGTACGCAAGTACATATATAATAATAATAATAACAACAACAAAATTTTCTCTTTTTGTTTTATAATATTTATGAGTCTTCAGAATCTGAATCAGTCGAATTAATAAATCATACAGTGCACCGATTTAGTGCAGGGATCAACTATGAGTGTGCCTCAATTAATCAAATTAAATAATCATGTTGAAGAGCTGGCAAAATGAAAAGTCAAGTCAAAAGCAGCATGGACGCACAGTCCCTACCACTTAAAATTGTCACTTTGCAAGTCGTTCTTGTAATCAATAATATATCAAACAAAATAAATAAATAAATGAAGCAAATTAGAAAACAATAACCCATCAAAATTGGGGTGGAAAAGGAAAGTCTTCCAAAAAGGTTGGCTTCCTGGGACTGGGGAGCCCTCATTTCTACTCGGTCCACTTAATCAATTAGTTGAAGTACGGAGAATCAAGATGACAAACTAATATAATGTAAATTAAAGGATTGATATAGTTTATAAATTCTCAACTTTAGGGTTTTTATTCAAAAAGTGAAAAATCAAAGGTATTTCTATGGTGGCCACTGCCTAGATTTTTAGTGCTCTATTGCACGAGGGGTGTTTGTTTAATTGTTTTTAATAATAACCATTATTATTAAAATGGTTAATCAAATTAAAACTATATTAGAGCCAAGCGTTTGCGGACTGTGATCTGTTGTGTGTCGGGTTTGACGCTAAGACGAGGAATCTTTGGGGTCCCTTTCATCAAATCTCAACGGTACGCCCTGTGGGTTCTGTAGTTAAAATATCTGGATTCACAGCTGAGACCTATAATTAGATATTGCAATTTTTAAAGTATTATTTATTAAAAAAGTCTAATGTGATTCCTTTTCATGAAAAAGACAAACGGGTTACAGTGTCTATTAAAAAAAACCTATAAATTCTTAAAAGAAATACTTCTAACTTATGTTGTCAATATTTTAAGAATAACCTTTTTTTTTATGATAAATTACTTTTTATTATTAGTTTTTGTATCTGTTCTCATTCCTATTTGATTTTTAGAAAAAGAGAGAGAAAATAATAGTATATGTTTGATGAACATAATAGATTGTAGAGTAAGAAATTAGATTTTGAAATTTGAACAATCTTAGAATTTCAATTAATTATGGTGTTTAAAAATTTTTTAGAATGTAATCACAACTCTGGTCTAATTTTATAAAATTTAACCATAATAAAAATTAACATCTTTTTAACACTTAACCTTTCTTATTTTAATTATAGTTTCTACCTTCACCATCGCAATTCTACAATTATTCCTTCTTTTTTCTTTTATTGTCACCTCTATAGTTACTTTTATTATTATTTATTTGATTTTTATAAATAATTTTTATTATCATTGTTACAATTATTACTGTGAGTTTATCATAATTAAAATATAATTATTAATATCAATATCACTTTTAATGTCATTGCGGTCATTATTACTATATTTATCATTTATGATATGTCAATGCTATAATTAGTCATTGTTGTTATACTGTTATGTCATATCATATCGCTAAGTACCAATATTATTTATTTCCACTCTTAATTTCACTATTTATTTGTCTCATTAATTCTCCCGTCATGATTATTGTAATAATCTAATTCTTTTATGCAACACAAACATAATTTTATTAAAGTAAAAAAAAAAAACAAATTCACTTGAAAATAATCCTTTAAAATTAAAAAAAATCAAAATAATGTTTAGAATAAGATGTCATGACTGAAACATCATTGCATGATATCAATCAAAGGCAACAAACACAAGATACTTTAAAAGCATAATTTGAACATTTAAACATGTTAAATTTCTAAAATCAACGTTTAGAATAATAAACCTCGTGCCACTCCACAACTGCTTCAACAGAGACACCTCCACGATGAAACTAGAGCTTCAAACCAGACACCCGAATTATGATTTCCAACCAATTTTAATTTTATTTTATTTTATTTTGTTGTCTTGAAAATAAATAGTGTAACAATTGTATAATAGCAGTGATGTGCAACTAATACTGTTTACTAAACAAAATGTGTTGTAAAATGCTCTGATTATAAAATCTCAACGATTAAGTTAATTTTGCTTCAGAGTGCAAAAGATGAATATTTTTCCATTTCTTTTTACTGCAATAGCATTCATATTCATTTTTATATTTCTGGTTTGAAATATAAAACCAGAAATATTTATTATATTTGATTACAAATTTGATTTTTTATTATAACTAATGTGTAATTTTAATTTCTTAAATTTTTTTTAATTGAGTTTATTCTCTTAATTTTTGCAATTACTACAATCAAGTACTTATATTAATTTTTACCTGCCACTTTAATAGCTTTTCGTGCTTGTTTGTATTAGAGCTTAAACGGAATTTTGAGGAATTCAAAAATTTTAGCTTCTCATGAAATGGAGCCTTAAAATTTGTAAAATGGAGTCAAGAGTCTTACAACATTTAAACAAATATGCTCTTCAACTTAAAATTCACTGATCAAAATATTATGTCTCATTCAACGTTTAAAAAGTATTAAATTTTATTTTCATCAAACCTTAATCTCACAAACTATAAATTCTTTTAAATTTACAAATCGTATCTTCTTTTGACTCATTGGTGTAAGATTAATTCACATACATTAACAGAATGAAGTTAACCGACATATATAATTTGTTGCACTTGATGACTTAAAGAAGAGAAATGTTAACAATAACCAACCAATTATAAATAGAGCAAATAATGCTGAAAATACAAACAATACAGTGAGGAGACCTATTGTCCCCAACCAATAACCTATTAAAGCCATGTTCATACTACGTATGGTTTGGCATGCAAGAATACAGTCTAATGCAGAAGGAAACAGAAGACATGAATTATTATATATACATATACATGCTGCTGGACTAGTTTTGAGACATATAATAAATTGTTTATTAACATGACTAATTAGGCTGTCCAATTTTGTTTTGGTGAGAATGGCCAACGCCGGGGCTGTGACCTGGGTCTGTAGGTTTGAAATCTTTTGTTGTTCCCTCAGTCACAGACACTTCAACATCTTGTTTTGTAATCATTCGGTGGCCAACTCCAGGACTGCCTCCTGGTGTAGTGGGTCGAAAGGCATTTATGTTGCCAGAATCATCTGAATCTTCAAAACTTGCTGTGGCATATTTTGGGATCATGGGTGGTGAGTTCACGTTCTTTAATGAAGGAGTAGGAACATTAGCGCTAGCTTTAAGTGGTTGAAGGGTAGACTTGGAAGTAGGTTCTAAAACTAATGCTACAGTGCCTTTGTTTAGTGAGGAATGTTGCTTCAACGGCTTTATTTGCCTACCATGAGTTAGAAGAGAATGGTGGCAAGCAACTAGTGCAAGAAAAACAGCGAAATATTTGTGCATGACTAGAAATTTACCCATGATAACTAGGAATAAGACGAGGTGTAACTGAAAGAACTATTGCGTAGGAGAGAGTAGTGAGAATTTTAAGCTATTTAGCTCAGATTAGGAGAGGAGATGATATGAGAAGTTCGGGGATCCTCGCGGTATTTATAATGTTGAGTGTGTTAGTGCTCTTCATAGATTCCAATTGCTAATTATGTAATTTGACTAAGTATGTGGAGTGGATACTCTCATACTCTACGAATGTGGACCGTTTGTAGCTTTGTATGCAAAATACCTTTCAATTCCATGGGCCCCTCTCTGTCACGTGCCCAAGCATGCCTACGTGTATATAAAAATAAAACATAAAACATGCAATCTTCTAGATTTTTTTAATATTATTCTTTAATTAAGATGAAAATTTTACTCAGTAATATATATTTATTTTTAATATTAACTTTTATTGTGTGAATTACTGAGATGAGATTTTAATTTAATTTAAATAACAACAACACAATTATTTATAATACTACATCTAAATTTTGTTTAAAAACAAATTGGGGTTATCAATTTATTTTTTTAAAATATTTTTTTATCAATTAAACTGTTCAATTATAACTATATACTATGTTAATTATTTTTATCAAATTTTTAAAAATTTTAAGAATGTAATAAAAGATTATGATTTTCATATATTACATTAATTTTTATGTAAATGAATAAAGTATTAAATAATTTTGAATTAATTTAAAATTTTGTAGATGTGATCTATTTGATTGAAATTTTTAATCTAAAAGTTGGTTTTAGGTATAAGTTATTCAATAAAAAATTATTATGTGTGTGTTTTGATCTCCATCATTTTTTTAATAAGAATTTAGTTCTTTAATTTTTTAAAATTTTTAGTATAAAGGACCTAAGTTGGTTTGCCTTTTTTATTTAAGTTTTGAATCAGATATAGAGTTTTACTTAGTGTATTATATGAGTGGAAGAGAATTTGAAATAATTTAATCACTTTAGTTCATAGAAATTTTAGAAATATAATTAGAAATTGAAATTTTAAGAAAAAATTGATAAAAGTGGGTTTTATTATAATAATTTAAAAAATTAAGAAAATAAATCAGAATAAAAAATTGTTTAAAGACCAAAATTACGCATGAATCATTAAAGAAGATAGAAAATATAACTAAACCTAAATATATAAACTATGAAATTTGGGAGTGGTGCGCCATTTTCTCCCACAAAAAATAATAATAATAATAATACATGTAGTTTTTTTCCCAATCATTAAGTACTGGTGGCTTTATGGTGCATCTTGAATTAGTTTAGAATGCATTTTCACTTGTATAAAGACTTGCTGTCTGTGCATCTTTTAAACAAAAGAAGCACGAGCAAAATTGTCCCACCTTCGATTTAGAAATGGTTATAATTTCTTTATTTTAAAGATCTAGAGACACTTCCTATATTTAGGGAGATATGTAAAACATAAGAATCATAAGCTTGTAGTCATCTTTGATCAAGGTAGGGTGGATGGGCAGATTTTTTTTATAGATGAATTATGATTATACAATCCACTGTCAACAAGGCAAAGGAAAATATTGTATGGCAACTGCTTTAAATACGAAGTAATAGGTTGCCTGGGAAAACAAAAGTATAAAGTTTTGAAGAAAGGTAAATTCATTGGTAACTTGAAGTATCATTAAAGAGGAGTAAAATACTCTCTAACATATTTTTAATATTTAATTAGTTGAAATTTATTAAAAACAAATATAATGTATAAGAAAAATATTAAATTAGAAATGACAAAAAGTGTCATATACATAATTTTTTAATTTTTTAATAGTTTAAACTAGTACGTCAGAAGAACTATACAGAAGCATTGCTTTGAAAACACTAGATATGATCAACTAATTTGGCCAATTGAATTGTGCAAATACTTAATTTTATTTTGTTTTATTTTATATAAATAAAACTAAAATTAAAATATTATTAAAATGATGACAATATAATGTCGTAAAATGATAAAAAAATATTTAAAATGAAAAAAAAATACGATTTGTTTTAATACTATTGAACAATAATATCATTTTAGTATATCAAATAAATTTAATATAATAAAAAATTGAATTTAAAATATTAAATCTCTTGATATTTACATAAAATAATGTCGAAATGTTGTATTGATCATTCAACAATATTTAGTTCCGATCAATATAAAAGCAATACATTATCTTATACTAAAAAAATAATTATTAAAATTCTCGTTATCATCATAATAAAATATAATAATAAAGTTAGTTATTATAATTTTAAAATACACACATCTAATAATAAATATATTTAAAAATATAAATTATTATAATACATAATAACGGTTGTTTCTAAAAAAGAAAATACAATTAAAATAAGTTAAAGGTTAAAATAAAATACTCCTAAAAATAATAAAAATAATTTTTTTTATTAAAATCATTCTCTATATGGATATATTTTAAATTGGTCTCTTAACTTATAAAAATATTTTTTAAAAAATATTTTTTTGTCAAAAGTCATATCCTTTTTAAAAAATTACTTTTTATCTTCTTTTTTAATTTGAACTCTAACGATCGAGAACATAGTATATTCTAACAAATTTTTTAGTTACTTTTTTTCTCCTCTTATATGCTTTGAAGAACTTGATTAGGATTTATGTGAACTATTAATGTGATAGAATCATGATCCATTCAAATAGTAAGCTTCAAGCATGTTACAGTTAGGTCATAAATGTACGTAATGCTAATAATTCAAATGCAAGTTGGAAGCCAACACTCTTCGCTCCAAGTAACTTGACCTCAATACTCATTACACTAATATGAGTTGCTTCGGTTTAGCATTTAATAGTAAATTCTGGGCAAAACTTTTTAAAGTGATTGTTGGGTGGAATCGCTTTCTAAAGTTCATTTATGAGAGTAATTTTTTTAATTGTTCTCTTAAGTTTTGAAAAATTTTGATAGCATCTTTTTTTAAAATTTTATAAAATCATAAATTTTGATACACATGATAGATAAAGTAATATGTCGCAATGAATAATTAAATAATTTTGAGAAAAATTTAATATGCTAAATACACCTGATTATTGAAGTACATGTAATTCAATTTGTTTAGTTAGTTTTGTTTAGTTTTCATTTTGTACTGATTTGTTAATAACCAACTTGTAATAGCCTTTTCCTCTATAAAATAGAAGCTTACGACATTGATACAATATATACAAATTTTAGTTTTAAAACATTATTCTATTATTATTTTCTTCATTCTCGTATGATCACAACTCCTTCTCTTCTAACAAATTGGTATTAGTTAGCCTTCTGCTAAAATGTATTCAAACGTGTTCTGTGTTCCATTCATCTCAATGTCTCAATATATACATGAAAAGGGAAGAAAAAAACCTACGACTGTAATTACGCTAACCAATATGGCAATATCCTAATTTTGTCTACTGACAGATATCAAAAAGATATACATTGCTATCATGCCAAGATAAAAGAGGAAACAACAATCATGGCATGATTTGGTAGTTAATAACATATACGCTAAATATATACTGTCTATTTTTATCACCCCCCCTCAAGATGGAGCATGGAGGTTATGAATGCCCAGCTTGCTCAAAAGTGAAACAAATTGAGGAGCGCCTAGTGGTTTGGTGAAGAGATCTGCGAGTTGATGATGAGTAGACACATAGGCAGGCCGAATGCGATTGTATTGAATTTCATCCCGAATAAAATGGCAGTCTACCTCAATATGCTTCGTTCGTTCATGAAAAACGGGATTCTTAGCAATATGGAGAGCAGCTTGGTTATCACAGTGGAGATGCATAGGCTCGGTGTGGGGAATATCCAGACTTGAAAGAAGACCTTGAAGCCATTTCAACTCACATGTGGTGTTTGCCATAGAACGATATTCGGCTTCAGTAGAAGAGCGAGAAATTGTGTGTTGCTTTTTGGCCTTCCAAGAAATGGGAGATTGGCCAAGAAAAATAAACCAGCCTATGAGAGATCGTCGTGTGAGAGGACAACTCGCCCAATCTGAGTCACACTATCCATAGAGGCGAAGGTCACTGTCCCGTTTTAAGAGCACTCCTTGACCTGGTTGACCCTTTAGGTAGCGCACCACTCGCAGTGCAGCACGCCAATGCTCCTCTCGCGGTTGTTGCATGAACTGAGATAGGACGTGAACACTGTAAGACAATTCAGGTTGTGTAAAGCACAAGTAGATAAGACGCCCAATGAGGCGTCGATACTGGCTCGGGTCTGAGAGCAACGCGCCATCGGCCAGTGCGAGACGATGATTTTCTTCAATGGGAGTAGACACAGGTTTACCCCCAAGTAATCCTGCCTCACTTATGATATCCAACGCATATTTTCGTTGGCATAGGAAAAGCCCAGTGGGAGACTGGGAAACCTCCACCCCAAGAAAGTATTTCAATTTGCCCAAGTCCTTCATATGAAAACATTGATGAAGATAACCTTTGAATTTTGCAATGGCCTCAGGATCATTTCCAGCAATGACAAGATCATCCACATAAATTAATATGATCAGTCACACAACTCCTTTCCGGAAGATGAACAAAGAGTGGTCGGATTGGGAGTGTTGAAAGTCGTATGCATCAAGGGCTTGAGAGAGCTTAGCAAACCAACACCGAGGAGCTTGTCGAAGCCCATAAGGGACTTCCGTAGACGGCACACCACATCATTTTGTGACACCAAGAATCCCGGTGGCAACTTCATGTACACAGATTCTGCAAGATCTCCATGCAGAAAAGCATTATGAACATCCATTTGATGCAGCTCCCAGTCTTTGGCTACAGCGATAGCCAAAACTGTTCTAATGGTGACCATCTTGGCCACTGGGGCAAAAGTTTCGTTGTAATCGATCCCTTCAACTTGGTGATTACCCAAGACAACTAACCGTGCTTTTAATCGTTCCACGCTCCCATCTGAGTGGTATTTGATTTTGTAAATCCACTTGCAACCTAGAGCCTTTTTGCCAGTCGGTAAAGGAGAAATGTC